TTTGATCGATAGCATCCAAGATGGCCCCAAGAGGGCCTCCAGGGTTCTCAAGAGAGCCCCAAGAGGGCTCCAAGAGAGCTCCAGGAGGGCCCCAAGAGGGCCCCAAGACGGCCCCCCAAGCGCCCAAGAGCGCTCCAAGAGAGCCACAAGAAGCGGTTGCGGGCTCCTGAGGGGGGGCTGAGTCGGGGACCCTCCCCCCATCCTTTGATCGATGGCCTCCACGATGGTCCCAAGAAGCCTTCCAGGGTTACCAAGAGGGTTCCACGAGGGCCCCAAAAGCTCCCAGAGAGCACCAGCAGCAGCAGCCGCAAGAATCCTACCAACTCCTTGGCCGACAGGTGGTCCAACGAGAGTCTCTTTCCTCTTCCACAGCCCCTCTTCCCTACCCTTCTTCCCTACGGGGAGGGGAACACTCCCACTCCCCTCCCTGAAGTTGTTTGGGGAAGGATCGCGAGGAGTCGGAGGCTCCTTTTTCGGCCACTGGGAGGGCCATTTTTGGCCGCCCCTCACAAGGATCGTGGCCCCCGAGGGGGGGGACGCAAATCGAGTACCCCCCCTCTTTTGACAGACCGCCTCCAAGATGGCCACAATAGGCCCTCCAGGGCTCCCAAGAGGCGCCCAAGAGGGTCCAAAGAGCGCCCAAAGAAGCCCCAAGAGCCCTCCAAAAAGCACCCGAGAGGCCCCCAAGAGGCCCCCGAGGGGCCTCCGAGGGGCCTCAGAGAGCCCAAGATGACCTTCAATATGGCTCACGATAGCCCAAGCTAGCTCCAGATGGCTCCCAAGATGCTCCAAGAGGCCCCAAGACCGCTCCAAGACGGCTCAAGATGGCCACGGAGCCTCCCCAGGATACCGCCGAAATGTCCGAGTCCTTCAAAAACGTAGCGAAAACCAAGAATTCTGGCCTTCTCGCCTGTTTGCCTTCGATGGCCTTCCGGGGCCTCAAGATGGCTCCAAGATGGCCCAAGAGGGCCCCAAGAGAGGCCCAAGAGAGCCCCAAAACGGCCCCAAGAGCGCCCAAGAGCGCCCCAAGAGCGCTCAAAGAGGAGCCCAAGACGCAAGTTAGGCACTCTCGAGAGGCGACGCTACTTGAAGCTCCCCCTTCTTTGATCGATCTCCTCCAAGATGGACCCAAGAGCGCCCCCAAGGCTCCCAAGAGAGCCTCAGCAAGGCCCCAAGAGGCGCCCAGACGGCCCCAAGAGGCGCCCAAGACGCTTCCAAGAGGCCCCCAAGAGACCCCAAATAAGCCTCAAGAGGATCCCCGCGGCACCCAAGACGCTCAAAGACGGCCCTGGGCCCGCCAAGATGCCCCCGAGACGCTCCAAGAGCCTCCAAAAAGCTTTCAAGACACATCCGAGAAGACTCTGAAAGGCAACTCGCCTGGGCATCGTTTCTGGATTGGCTGGTGGGGATACGCGAGCGTCAAGAATTTCAACCTGGTTGAACTGTCTTGGGTTTACACTGGTCATCCTTCTCCTCCTCCTTCTCCTCTTCCTGTCACACCCTCCAGCTCCGCGGGAGAAATGCCTCTTTAAACACCCAGACGCTCATCCTCCCCGTCCTCCACCCCAGAACCACGCCCTCCTTACCCTCCCCCTCCCCAAAACGCCCCCGCCGACCCCCCCCCCCCAAAAAAACACGACGGAAAGTGTTTGACCGTTGTCGGCCTCTGGGGACCCGGCCCAGGACCGTCACAAAAGCGGCTCGGGATGGGAAAGACGTCCTGGGGAGGTCTTGTCGGGGGGGCGCCTTTTCTAGGCGCCCACCCCGACAAAACCTCCTCATGTAGCTCATGCAGCTGGTTCTCCAGGCGCCTCCTGGCGCCGGGAGGCGGCCATGGATCGAGGAATGGGCCCAACGGCGGGGCGGAAGCCAGGTGCATGCTGCAAATTTGGTACCCCCCCCCCCGTGTCCCCCTCATGCCCTCTGGCCCGGCTTGGTCTCGACCTCTGGCGGTCGACGGACACTTGCCGTCGCTCGGACGTCTATTTCCCGTGCACTTCTCGGCTTCGCGCCCGATGGTCCAGGATGCTCCTCGACGGTTCTCGCCAAGGAAAACACATCCAAGCGATACCAAAAACATTACAAAACGTCAGGAATCTGAGTCCTCCCCCCCCCGAGGTGGTCCTCGATGGTTCTCGATGGTCCTCGATGGTTCTCGCCGAGAAAAAATGCACACGTCCGAGCGATGCCAAGGACATTGCGCGAAGCGTCAGGGGTCTGGGTCCTCCTCCCCCCCCGCGCGGGGCGGGGGGAGGCGGAGCGGGCGAGCGGGCGGCCACCGGTGCAGACAGGCGCCCGGGCAGCAGCCCCGCCGAGACCAGGCGGAGGAGGTCGTGGCCTCTGGGATATGTTACCAGCCTCGAACGTATCACCATCCCTAAGATTGACGTGCTAAAAGGCGATGACAATCCTAGGGATTCGCCCTCATAAAATAAGGGAATCCCTAAGGTTGGCATCGTGATGAGGAGGTGCCCAGCATAGGGATAGGGATATGTTCCAGGCTGGTAAAGGCAGCCCAGCCGAGACCAGGTGGAGGAGGCCGTGGCCTCTGGGATGTGCTGCGTGTGTGTGTGTGTGCTGTGCGAGATGCGTGACCAACTGCGAAAGGCGGAGGGGCTTGTCCTGAGGGGAGGGAGCGGGGAGGGAGAGAGGCGGTGGACAAGCTAGGTGCGCGAGCGTCTCATCGAGCGTCCTACCCCTCCCTCCCATCCCTTACCGTGCCGCAGATCTCCTCTATATGAGCACAGTCGGATGTCGTTGCACGGCACAGCATTACATGACAGAGCATGGCGTTGAGGATCAAAAAGTAACATGACAGAGCATGGCGTGGCACTGCGAGGACCAGCACTGCAGATCATAGCATTGAAGCAGAAGGCATGGCATCGCACAGCGGATCACTACATAGCATTGCACTGCATGCCATGGCATGGCACTGGAAACGAGGCCGGCGCTGCAGCGGGAGCACAATTCGGAACGAGCAGAAGCGCGGAAATGAAGCGAGCGCGGCAGCGGGAGCACGATTCGGAACGAGCGGAAGCGCGCAAATAAGGCAAGCGCTGCAGCGGGAGCACGACTCGGATCGAGCGGAAGCCACAAAAGGAGGCCAGCGCCGCAGCGGGAGCAACACTTTGAAGAACCGCGAAAGTTCGGAATGGAAAAAAACACACATACACACACAAATTCAACTCGCAGGCATCCAACGCGCAGGCATGCTACGTACTCAGGGGGGCGCTCCCTCATACTTAGGGCTTTCGGGGGGGGAGAGGAGAGGAGCATTCATATTGAATATAATCGTCGAAGGCGGGGGCATCGTGCTCCTCGGAGGTGCGCGCCTGCACGTGAACAAATCAGCTCGGAGCCGAGCACATCCGCGGCCGCGCTGCGAGGAGGAGGAGGAGGAGGAGGAGGAGGAGGAGGAG